AAAAGAGGATTTTAGACAGGAAGGGCGAGGCTGATGATGATAGGCCTTGGGAAGTCAGGCATAATATTTTAGACTTGAGATAGTACATAATGGAGAGAAACTGAAGGTTGCACATCCAGAATAGACATGATGAAGTGGTCATTTTAAAGATTAGACAGGCAAGAGAACACTGAAAAGACCAGAGGGAAGCTTCTCATTCATTTATTCAGCAAACATTTAATGAGAGCTTACTAAGAGTCAGGCTTGGGAGGCTGTTGCAGTACTGCAGGAGAGGAAGAGTGAGGACTAGATTAGAATATAGAAGGAGGGATCTATATAAAACATATTTCAAAGGTCTTGATGACTCATTGATACAGAGGATGAAGGAAACGAAGGAAAAGATGGTTAAAGATAATTCCAACGTTTCAAGATTAACGTAATTTCCACTGTACTAGGAATCTCAAAAAGCAATGAGAGTAACAAACAATAAAGTATAAAAAGGGCTCTGATGATACTGAACAGTCAATAAATAAAACGCCTAAATGGCTTGTTTGACATCCTAGTAGCTCATTTACACTTAGTCTGTGGAGAAGAAACTTCAGTGAAAAGACCTTTTTTGTGTGATTAAATGCTGAGTTCCCTTGGCCAGGACAGCAGGGGTCTGCCTAATCAGACAGGCTCCATCAACCCTCCAGCAACCCCCTCCACCATCTGAACCTAGATTGGTTTCATTAGGAAATGTGGCAGCCTCGCCGCTGCCTGGCCACCAGTTTTGACTTTGGAGAAGGGGACAAGGCAAAGTGGAAAGGGAGAAATAAAAAGTGGGCAGGGTCATTTAGAGAATGGGGAATGGTACGGGATGTCATTTTAAATAAAGGATTCCAGGACTGCTTTCCTTTCTACACTTACTTCCTAGTGTTTTACAAGTCCTGATCTCAAGTAGATAGGAAAGCCTTAAAGAGTCTTTACCAAATTGTAGCGCATTGTTCAGAAACTATTTTAAATGTGCATATTTATGCATATATTAACTCCCAGCACAGTTCAGCATATGATTGAGACACAAATTCTTCTTAATAATTTATATATTGACTACAGAAATTTAAAGCTCATTTAAACTTTATATTCGGCAATGGTGCCATTCACTATTGAAGCACACCCTGAAACCCCACTCACTGGGAAATGTGAGAAATGAAAACTGTAACTATCAAACTTCTGTTACTACAAAGAGTTCTCCCGGTTTAAAAAAAAAAAAACCCACAAGCGCCAATACCTTAGAGAAATCCAGTCCCACTTGTAAAATTCAGTATGGAAATCCCTCAGCCTAGCCCAGCTCCAGCAAAAGCAGGTCTTATTTAGTTATAAGTGGAAAGGAATACTCTTCTCTGCAGAATGATGCATTAGCTACCTTACATATAAGTCCTTAATGTTAGTGTCAAACTTTAAAAGGTTAACATTACAAAAGAATCAGTTGTTCTGAAAAATTCTTCAATATCCTTCTCATAACAGCTACTCAGAGTAATAAGAAAGAAATCAGAGCAGAAAGAAATCCAGTAAAAAAATGGTTGCAAAATAAGTACGCGAGGATTTTTGCTCAGACCCCTTGTGGGACAGCCAAGGGCCTAGTCAGGGAAATTCCAAGAGCAAGTCCTCAACGTGCCCCGCATCGAGGCTTCAGATGGGCTAGGGTCTTCCCTTTCTTTAAGACTAAAAGATAAACACCCATCAAAATCCTCTAGGCTCCGAGTTTTCATACCAGGAAGGAGAGACCCATATGATCGCAGAAAGAAACTATAACCCATTAGCCTCTTCCTGCGCCTCCGATCCGTCACGGGGCCACCGGCCAGGGGTCTCCCAGCCGCCCCAGCCCAGCAGCTACTAAAGTGACAGGTCGCCCGGCATAAGCCCCCAAATCCCGGAGCCCCACTTACTGGCGCCGCGAACTCAGGCAGGGGCCCGCCCCTGCGGTGAGCGCAGCTCCTCGACGAGCGGGGCACAGCCGCCAGCTCCGGAGCTGGAAATGGGGACAATCCCTGCTAAGACCGGCCGAGGGCTGCGTGCAGGGACGCCCGCGAGGTCCGCCGAGTCGCACGGGCCGCGCGGCGCATGGTAGTGCAGCAGGAACCCGGCCGTTTTCCAGCCTCCGGCAGGAAAACAAACAAAAGGCTGGGTGGCTTCTGCTGGGGACGACCGGCTGCTTTCCCTGGGAAAAGTTACCCTGCAGCTCCCCTCGCTGGCCCTGCGCGTCCCTGCACCGCGTCCCGTTCGCCCCGGCTCGCCCGGTCGAGCCGCGCGGCGCAGCTCTGGGCCTAGGGCGGCACAGAGCCCGGGGGACCCCTAACGCGTGCTGACCACAAGGCCATCTCCGACTCCAAACGAACGCCTCGTTGCAGATCGGCTCGACCAACCATCAAGACTTAGAAATATGGAGGCTGTCGATGGACGTTCTGAGCACATTTAATGAAAGGTAATCGTTGTGAAAACATTTTTCTTACTTGAAAAAACGTAGCTGAGGTGGCACGACATTAATGGCACCTAATAAAGTAATCAATGCCACTGAATTGGATTCAAAGTGGTTAAACAGCAAATTTCATGTTACCTTTATAGAAAAATAAAATGAAAACCCAACTGATTGTTAGCATTCCTTTGAACTCTTAACAGTTTTTATGTTGTTAGCAAGTAGTTGTAAAGACTAGACTCTTATCCAGATGGGAAACTGACTCTAGTCAGATTATCCTCTACACAACATGTTAGATTCCCTATAACTAGTTATAGGGAATCTAACACTAACATGTAATTTTATAACAAATTCATTTATGTCATAAGTGATATGGTAGACATTACCTAAAATCATCTTTATGAGGCTACAGGGCTTTGAATAAAGAAGTTGCTTCCAGGTCCCTGATTTTTAAATTTACATAATTGTTCTAAGCCAACAGTTGTTCAGCATTAGCGGGAAGCATCAGAACCACCTGGAGGACTTGTTAAACCAAGTATCTGGACTGCACTCTCAGATTCTGGTGCTAATGTTGCTGGTCACACTGCCATAAGCAACACAAATTTAACCAATAAAGCAATAACTCTTTAACACTTCGTGGACTGTTCTCTGAGTTTACAATTCCCAGCTGATCATCATATCAGTTTTTTCTCACTATTTTTATTTTTTAATTCTACAGACTGAAGATTGTTTTTTACTGAAAAAATCTATACCAAGGTCTGAATCCCTCTCTCCTCTTGATCTTGTGGAAGAAGCATGCAAGATATAAGATAGTCAAGCTTCTTTAGATTTCCTCTCCCAAATGGAAAAAGGTCATCTGGTCACTTGACGTATGTATAACATTGATATCTACCTTTGTGCTTACCTATTTAACAGCCAGCCCATATGGCAAATGAAAACTGAAAATCATTATCAGTGAAAAGATAGAGAGACATGACAAGGAATCTAACAAGTCATATACTACGGCCATGAAAAGCAATTTCTAAAGTAAAATGATCAGTTTTAGTCAAATTGTCCAAGCAGGTCTACCTGGCAAACAGAGGTCTACCTTTTAGCAAGAGTCCGCTAGGCTAGTAAGTAGCTTAGATCAGTAGTTTTGGCCTCAGGAAATTATAATCTTGTAAATATAATATAAGAATATAACCTTGTAATGAGGTCTAGTGTATACTGTGGAATTGACTGAAAATAGAAAATTAGTAGCTATGAAGCATAATAGTGTTTTAATGCTCAATTTATCTTTACAAATATTATTTTATTAAGCTTTAACTACTTGCTAGAATAAAAGAAACCATCTGTGTAATTGACCAGGCTATTTTAAACTAGCACTCAACATTTTAAATGAAACAGATTTGTTCTGAAACTATTTCAATACTTCATTCTCAGTTTGTAAAAGAATCACATTTATCATTTTATTCTATTGTAAATCTTTAGATTTAACCTTTCCCCCCAATTTAAATTTCAAAGTCCAAATTTAAGGAGTTCTTTGGGAGGAAATTTATCCCTAAAAAGATTTAAGCCCTAGAGTCTCCTTTAAAACTAAAAACTTAAATTTTTTGGCTTCTTTTAAACACTAAGGCATCTTTTATAGGTACCTGACTTACCGTGCAAATAAAAACACACGTATCCGAAGGGTGGATCCCAATATTAAAACATGGCAGGCCGGGCGCGGTGGCTCACGCCTGTAATCCCAGCACTTTGGGAGGCCAAGGCTGGTGGATCACGAGACCAGGAGTTCGAGACCAGCCTCACCAACATGGTGAAACCCCGTCTCTACTAAAAATACAAAAATTAGCTGGGCTTGGTGGCGTGCGCTGTAATCCCAGTTACTAAGGAGGCTGAAGCAAGAGAATCCCTTGAACCCGGGAGGCGGAGGTTACAGTGAGCAGAGATGGCGCCACTGCAATCCAGCCTGGGCGACAGCGACACTCCGTTCGAAACAAAACAAAACATGGCATTTGGACTACCTTATTGTAGCTCGTTCTCCCTCCCCTTCACTCTCTCTCTCTCCCCTCTCCCCCAGCACTTTCACCTCCATTTCTGTGCCAAAGATGTACTACAATTTTTTTTTTTTAGACGGAGTCTCACTCTGTCGCCCACGCTGTAGTGCAGTGGCGCGAACACTGCCACCTCCGCCTCCCAGGTTCAAGCGATTCTCCTGCCTCAGCCTCCTGAGTAACTGGGATTACAGGCGCGCCCCACCACACCCGGCTAAGTTTTGTACTTTTAGTAGAGACGGGGGTTTCACCATGTTGGTGAGGCTGATCTCGAACTCTTGATCTCGTGATCCACCCGCCTCGGCCTCCGAAAGTACTGGGATTACAGGCGTGAGCCGCCGCGCCCAGCCGATGTACCGCATTTTTAATCTCTCCAGAATAGAATGGATTAGAAATTTAAACTCTGTAAATTCGTTGAATGTTTGGAAGCCTATTAGTTCCTGGCACCAGTAAAAACTTTAAAAACTCAGTATATGTTTGCTAAATGAAGGTAATATGAAGACTGTCAATTTTCACAGGCAAACCCGTAGTTAAAAAGATTTAAATTGTGTAAAAACAAAGTATCACCTGATAAACAAGTACATTCACTTGAGAAGAAATAAGGTAGTATGGGCTTTAAGAGGGGGGGCGGAGGACCAAGTGTAAGTTCCGGTGCTCAAACCTGAGAGGCCGACTACAAATCCCAGAGTGCCTCGCGGGCGCCGTCTCCACGGCACTTGGGTTTCAGGGCTATGGAGTCGCAAGCCCTTCTCTCACTGCATTATGGGATCTGTAGTGAGACGTGCCTTGCGTGGGCTCTTTCCTCCTGCTGGGCACCAAAGCGTGTCTTTTCCTCAACCTCCAGTCTGTCTGTGCTCTCAAAAACTTTAGTCGTTATAACAACTGTGACTGTTGAGAAGTTTGTTTTCCCGCATTCTTGGCGCGGGACTCTAGCCAGAGGCTCCGAGGACTTTGTTGCGACTGTCCCAAGCGTCCAGTTCGATGCTTCTCAGGGCGGCTTGCTTTAGGGGCCCACCCCTAAATTTGGGTTGTAAACATTTTTGAGGTAGTGCTTGTTCAAGTTCGCTTAAGTGTTCACTTAGCCCAACACGCGGGTTGAGCTTGAGGTTCGGCACCCGGGCAGCCTCACCCAGCGTCAGGCGCGCGCATACAGTAGGTCCGCAACCCCTAGCCTACCACGAGGCAGCCCGCGGGACTAGGTGGCCGGGCAGCGCACACGGGCAGCACCGACACTGCGCATGCTCGGCGCGTCGGCGCAGGTTTGCGCAGCTGAGGGGGCAGCACCGCAGCGGCGTCCGGGGTCTCCCGTAGGGCTGACGCTCCGGTGTTCGCATAATCCCCTGCTTCGGCTGGCAACGGGCGTCCCTCCACTCCCCGAGTCCCCGGCCGCCGCCGCCACCCCAGCGCGCCCCGATCTGGCCCCCTGCCCCGCGAAGATGGCTGCCGTACGCCGGGCCCGCAGTTATTGCCGCTGCCTGGTGCGCTTCTCCGACCGAGAACTCTGCTAAGCTCTGCTGCAGAGACAGGCAGGAGTAGACACCCAGACACCCAGCACCCCTCCTCCGGGGGGCGGTGCAGTGGGGGCACGGAGAGCCCCTCGAGCGCAGCAGGCCGCCCCGCCAGCATGGTAACCTGGCCAGGGAGCTCGAGGGTGGACGCCGCGGGGCGGGAGCGCGGTGTGCAGGAGGGGCCGGGCCTAGGGCTGGGGGTCGGCGGGGACTCTGGGAGGAGCGGGAGCTTCACGGCCACCACCCGTTAGAGGGCCCTGGCCTGACAGGGAGTGCGTCGGGGGGCGGGGGTTGCCAACCCTGGCTTCTCCCCAGGGTTCCTTCCTGCTGCGCCTCCCCAACCCCCGCCGGGCTCGATGTGAGGAGGAGGGTTTGCAGGACAGCCGGGGAAAATGTCCCTTCTCGGCTCGCTGAGTATGTTGAACCAGTCTCGGTCCTCTCGAGGGATTTTATCAGAAACATTGAGCATAGATTGAGGTGAGCTGTCACAGCGCCTGAATTCGGAAGGGAGCTCTGGTAAGCGGAGACACTTGTTGATTGTCCTTCTGCCGAAAAGCCAGGCCCACCGACAGGCCCTGCCGGCACCTTGAAGAGCCCTGGGTGGAGGACGCATTTACCCCGCGAGGCGTCAGTTCCCTGGGTAGTATGTTGGCAGGTGGTCCTGGCGGAGTGGGGTTGGAGGGTTCGTCTCTGCGGCGTCGGTGCGGTGCAAATGGAGAGACTGAGCTAAGTTGCAGAGTTTGACAGCGCAGATTCCATGGGACTGTTCTCTACTAGAATACGTATTCTCTGCCCTATGCCTTCCTTTGGTTTAGAATAAATTGTTCATCTGAGAAACTAATCTGTGACTGGGGCTTAAAGAATCAGGGATGAAATAATTCCAAACGAATTAATTTATAGTAGACTCAAATATTTATTGCATAAATGAATGGCTGAATTTATTTTTATTAAATTAATCTGGAGGATAGAAAAGGCGTCAATTGCCCCTGCTCCTAAACTCTCAAAAGTAGTTCTCTGACCAGGATTAAGCACTTAGCCTTTATGGGTTTATTAATCCCACCTGTGAAACGGGGGTAACATGATGAAGACATGGGCTACTCATACACATGAACTACTCAAGTGAAGGTGATATTTAGGTCAAACTCGATTATGAAAAATAAAAGGAAAACTTCCAAGTGGTAACTGAGGCCCTACTTATTTCAAGTAGTAGTAGAATTGACCAAATGTCAACTCAGCCAGATCCCAGATACAATAGTTTGTTTTTGTGATCATACTGTCAAAATCAAAGTAAGAGTGGTTTAGAGTTCCACTATAATACAGGGGAGAAGAAAGGTGCTGTCTATATTACACTTCTCCCATTTCCTTTCCTCATCCTTCAGATACACATTATCCACATGACATTTTGTCAATTCAACCAGTATTTTTGAGTACCTATTATCAGCCTGGCATAGTGTGAGACTCTGGTACAATACTAGATCTTCAGTATAACCAAACCTGCAAGGTGATTTATGATAAACTTTTAATCAGAGAATGTCACATATGAAAAGGGACCTCAGTAGATCATCATATCTTTTTATTGATGTCCCACAGACATGACAGCTGAGGCCTAGACGGGCCTTTACGACAAATCAAACAATGTGTTTGGCCTTATGGTTACAGAGGTAACTGAGATGTGTTCCTGTCCTCGATGCTTTAACTCTAGTAAATGAAACAGCCAACCTCAGTACAAATGTTGTCATAATAATAAGCACAAGTGTTATGGGAACACAAAAGAGGCCATTAGAAAGGTTGAAAAATGCTTCTAAGATGAACCCTGAGCTGAATCTTGAAGCGTGAGAAGAAATAGCTAAGTGAGGAAGAAGGCATTCCAGATAGAGCAAGCAGCTTATGCAAGCCAACTGGACAGAGCAGGGGAAGCTCTTGAAGTCAGTTTAGAATGACTAGTAGGCAAGAGTTAGAAAACTGAATTACAAAAGATGCCCCACAGAGCTCAGGTCCCCCCCCCCATTACCTCTACTTAGAGTTTACAATAATAAAGCAGACTCTTACTTGAGAAGAGAGAGAAATACACTTCTCAGTGGGATTTATACATTCAGTCTTTCATTACATACTTTCCTGCTGGTGGTGTTCTTAGTAGGAAAATCTCCCAACTTGAAGAGACTAAAAAGCAATGTATTTGACAATACATTAATCCTTAAATTTTCCATTTTTCTAGAAATGCATCTGAGTTCCTGATCTCATTTATTTCTTCACAGATACATGCTTTACAGTGTGCCTAGCATTTTACCATATACTAACTGCTTCAAGTATGAAAGGCACCTCTGCTTTGAGTCTGCTTGCCAGAGATAAGATAGGAGGCAAGGCTAATTTATGTTCTGTAATATAGTGCAAGTATATCTGGTAGCTGTGTTAAAGACGTGTGTTAATATAAATACCGCCCCCCCACCCCGTCCTGCCCCGAAATAACATATGACTAAAATTTGCAATTGTAAAACTTACCATCTTTGGAACTAGTAAAATTAAATGGGTTTTATTATTGTCTAGCTAACCTTTAAGGTCATTTCCCTGATTGCCACATTTCTTTACAGTAAGTGTGGAGCAAGTTTCATTTGCTAATAAGTCTATTAGCTAACAGACTGAGCTGAGGCAACATGCCATTTTCACTGGAAGGTAGGATTTAGTTTAATTTAGCAAACATTTATGGAGAACAAAAGGATAAAATGAAAGTCATCTGACTGAAACCTCTATTAAGTTCCAAGTCACACAGTAATTCCAGTCTAGCTTTATTCCACTGAAGCCAATCCAATATATAAAAATTTAATTTATAGACAGATAAAATAGAAGGGGTTTCTTTACAAAAGCATTTACTATTAAAAGTCTGACAAAGAAGCTTTCCTAGTACATATAAAATACACAGAAGTCTTATTTGCATAGAACACATTTAATAACATGCTAGCTGTATAAAAGAAGTGACATCATCTTATGGACTATATTCTTTTTTTTTTTTTTTTTTGAGACAGGGTCTCACTCTGTTTCCCGGGTTGGAGAGCAGTGGTACAATCTCGGCTCACTGTAACCTCCATCTCCCAGGCTCAAGCAATCCTCTCACCTCAGCCTCCCAATTAGCTGAGACTACTGGCGGGCACCACCATGCCCTGGTAATTTTTGTAGAGACGGGGTCTTGCCATGTTGCCCAGGCTTGTGTCAAACTCCTGGGCTCAACCAATCCTCCCACCGCAGCCTTCCAAAGTGTTGGGATTATAGGCATGAGCCACCATACCCTGCCTGAACTATATTTTCTTAAGTGATCCATGAAACAAAAACTATCTGCTACAGCCAGGCATGACTGCACAAGCCTGTAGTCTCAGCTACTCAAGAGGTGGAGCAGAAGGATCTTTGGAACCCAGGAGCTTGAGGCCATCCTTAGGAGACTCTGTCACAAGAAAACAAATTATTTGCTGAACTCCATAGGACAACTAAATGTTACTGTTTTCTGAAATAAAGTTGTTATTTTTAGCCACCTAACAATACATTTTAAACTAGAGCCCAGTGAATTTGTTTATTCTACAGTATCAAAAAAAATTCAAGTATCAAGTTATATCTGATTGGCATTGTTAAACTTACCTGTGAAGAAGATATCTACAAAGAAGCAATGTTGTATTTCATTAGCATGAAACATTATAGTATTTTCTGTTTTAGTACTTGTAGAAGTTTATGGACACTAAAATTATTTGGGCTTTTTGCCTTAGACTCAATTATGTTTAGAACATCTGTCACAGCACCTTGTCAACTGCATTCTAGAACATTTCTCCTCCTGATGGAAAATACAACATGACCTATGAGGTAGTCTTACAAAAGAAAAAAAAAAAATCTTGGCAAAATCTAATCTAGCCTCTCAAGATCCAGCCACAATTTACAGAAAATAAGAGTAAGAGGTCAAAGGAACATATTTATTTATTTATTTATTTATTTTTTTATTTTTTTATTTTTTTTTTTTTTGAGACGGAGTCTCGCTCTGTCGCCCAGGCTGGAGTGCAGTGGCGCAATCTCGGCTCACTGCAAGCTCCGCCTCCCGGGTTCACGCCATTCTCCTGCCTCAGCCTCCCGAGTAGGAACATATTTATTAAAACTTCAGCAAAATCTAGCTTCTACAGAAAAATGACCCAGTTTCATCCCAAATAAATTACAAGAAAAAGAGAGGATTATAAAAGACTTGAGACCTATCAGTCAATTACAATGTGGACTTTATTTGAATCTTGATTTCACAAACTGAAATATATGTATTTTACATATGACATCTTGAGAAATATGAATACTGTGACTTGGTATTTGATATAAGGAATTACATTAATAATTATTGAAGTTGGGTCATGAGTACTTAGGGATTCTCTTTAAATATTTTTCTCCTAAAAACTTTTAAAATCTTGTAGAACTAAAAGAATACTAAAGATGTTCCTGTTTTATTTCATTTTTTTATAAGAAGAAAAAGTGAAAATAATTTTTCTTTTTTTCTTTTTATTTTTTTTCTTTCTTTCTTTCTTTTTTTTTTTTTTTTGAGATGGGGTCTCTGTCGTCCAGGCTGGAGCACAGTGGCTCTATCTCTGCTCACTGCAACCTCCATCTCCCAGGCTGAAGCAACCCTCCCTCCTCAGCCTTCCGATTAGCTGGGACCACAGGCATGCACCACCACGCCCGGCTGATCTTTTGTATTTTTAGTAGAGATGAGTTTTCACTATGTTGACCAGGCTGGCCTTGAACTCCTGACCTCAAGTGATGCTCCTGCCTCAGCCTCCCAAAGTGCTGGGATTACAGGTATGAGCCACCATGCCTGGCCAGAAGAAGAGAAAATAATTTTTATTACAGATTATCAGTGGTTATGTATATTAATGAAGGATTTGGCTTCATTTACCTAATTAGATTAATCATAAATCATTTATGAATAGTAATAAACTTGAATTGTTACTTTTTATGACACAGTTGGCCCTCTGTACCTGCAGGTTCTGCATCCTGGGATTCAACTGTGGATCAAAAATATTTGGGGGAAAAAAAAGCAATGCAACAATAAAAAATAATACAAATTATGAAACAATATACTACAAGAACTATTTACATGGCATTTACATTGTATTAGGTATTATTAG